ATAGGGTTTCCAATCCAATTGAATAACACATTTTTCCCAATTTTCGAGAACCGTCTATTACCGTAGATTCGTCTACACCTTTGTCTTAGTCAAGACACTTTGCCGTCGAAATAATCCAGCACTGTTGGGTGCACGTGCTATTATCAACAAAAATGTTTATGTACATATTAAGAATTTAGTACTCGCTAATGAGTTCCTGTTCGTTCACCCTGGGTGTTATCACCAACTCTAATTACAAGACGCCGTGTTACCGAGTGGTCGCACCTCTATAATTGCGCCGATAGATTGCAAGATAATCTTGAGATGCCTTCAACGGATAAACCTGTCGACGATCTTGAAAACTGGCTTCCCCTTGGCGAAGTTGGTCTCGTTGGTATAACTCCGATATTTCCAAAGGAGAAACCATTCAGTGTATTGCATCGTAAGCAGTTGAAAGACAAGCGAATTGTCCTCAATGTGAGTGGACGAAAGTTCGAGACCTGGGACTACACATTGAAGAAATACCCCACAACTCTACTGGGCAGCAGCGAAAGGGAATCTTTTTACGATTCGCAGCGGAAAGAGTACTTCTTTGAAAGGGATCCTAGTTTTTTCCGACATATCTTAAACTACTATCGACATGGAAAACTGCATTTTTCTCTAGAGGAATGCGGCGAGTTTTACGAAGACGAACTGAAATTTTTCCGGATTCCAACAGACGCGGTGGGTTTGTGCTGTCTCGAAGAATATCACGACGCGAACGCTGCTGCAATTCGCGAATCAAATTCAGAAGCCGGAGAAGCAATTGCAAGCCACTGTGAGTGTGTTCCGCAACGGAAGACATTCCGGCAACGCTTGTGGTTCATGTTTGAAAACCCAAGGTCTTCCACCACAGCCAAGGTGGTGTACTACGTCATAGGAGTAGCTATTATATTGAGTATCATTACAACCATAACAGAGACAATTCCCTGCGGTGATAAAACATGCGGCGAGGAATATAAACAAGCTTTTCAATACTTAGATGGCTCTTGTGTTGTGGTCTTAACATTGGAGTATTTGATCCGCCTGTTTGCGGCCCCTCACAGATGGAAGTTCGTGAAAGAGTTTCAGAGCATTGTGGATCTTGCAGCTGTGATTCCATTTTACCTTGACATTGGTTTGAAAAGCGCTGGCGACTTTGACGCACTGACAATTTTGCGCGTTTTTCGTGTGTTTCGAGTGTTCAAAATGTCGCGGCATTCCACCAGGCTGCAAGCTCTTGGCTCTTCGATAAAAAACTCCTCTTCCGAGCTAGGATTTATTCTATTTTCCTTTGGTCTTGGTGTGATCATATTTGCCACCGCTGTGTACTACGCCGAAAAAGATGTCAAGGGCACAACTTTCTCTAGCATCCCTGACAGTATGTGGTACGCTATTGTCACTATGACAACAACAGGGTAAGTATGGATTGTATGGTTGCTTCTAGGTGATG